CTTGGTGATGGATACGATGTATGTTTGGTCGGCATTCAAACATTGATGGGGCTAGTCATTAGCATTCCAGCATTCTGCTTCGCTATCTTGCACTAAGTGAATGAGGTCAGTCCCGTTCAGGTCAGGACTTGTATCTAAATCTTCCACTGCGCTATTCAACACCATTTTGTATGTATGAGAATGCACATTGCTTGTTGAGGTTCTACTTGAACTGCATTGTCCATTCTGTCCTTTTTATCACATTGCGGATCCTCGGTAATGATGTACATCGCTCATCTGAGCAAGTAACAGCTGGTATCGGTGCACCGCACGTCAATCTTGGGTTTTGTTTTCTCGCTATTCTGTTGTGGAAAATCGCATTAGTGTAACATCTGAAGTTTTCATTTTCGTTTTTCTTCTGAAAATTCGAAATTTCGTTGTTGAAAATCCGGAATATCCTTCTTTTCAAAAATTTTGATTTCCTGTTGCATTTCCCATACTTAGAAATTCGGAATATCTTCTTTTCCGAAATTCGTTTTCTGAAAACGGTACGGGAAATCCCTCCTGCAGGTATTATTTTCCAAACTGCGAATCATCTGAGAAAATCCGAATACTTGTCATTTCTTTTCGGAATTTTTTTTTCGCAGTTCTAGGATTCTGTTAGTCAGTTCTATAATCATTTGCAGTCTGAAGTCGAAATTTTTTTCTCCATTGATCATTTCCAACTTCAAGGGAGATTGGGAGACCTACTGAACTTGCAAAAGTCGGGATTTTTATTTTTCTCGAATTTTTTTTGCAAAGTTCAAACTTTTCTATTTTTGATTAGTGGCTCCTTATCTGGGCGATTCTTCCCACCCACCCTCCCCGTCTATGTTGTTGCCCCCTCTGGCCTTACCTTCTCTACCTATCTCCGGGTACCCCCTGCGACGACATTGGTGAGTTGCCATGTCAGCAGGCCACGTCAGCAGACTACGTCAGCAGGACACGCCAGCAGACCACGTCAGCAGGACACGTCAGCAGGACACGTCAGCCAACAGAGCAGGAATACCATGTCAGCAGGCCCCCGGCCTGGTACATGCTGTTGCGGTCACAGACAGCCGTCATGGACTAGAGGCCCGGTGAAGCAGACGAGGCCTATCAGGCCCGGATGCTGGCTTGGAGTACCGAGACAAAGAAACGGGCAGATGACACAGTTGCAGCAGCAAAGAAGAAGGCAGAGGATGCCGAGCAGGCACATCTGCTGGCACTTGAACAACAGCGCCAGCATGACGAGGCAGCAGCAAGGGCTGCCGATGAAGAAAGGAACCAATGTCGTGAGAAGATATTTAGCGGAGAGCGGACCTTGCTCACAATGGCAGCGGAATGGCGGACCAAGGCTGAATATGGCAAGTTGGAGGGTTGCTAAAACAAGATCGCTCTCCTCCTCTCGCATCTCACAGACCTCCTGGCTATATGCATTATGCAGCAGGGGGATATCCACAGCCTCGACGACTCGCTAGCTAAACTACAAAGCCGCCTGCAGCAACTGGAGCAGCGACCTGTCGCCGCACCCGATGCAAGCTCTTCCACTACCTCCAATCGCCTCGAAGCATTGGAGATGCACGTCGGCTCCTTCCAGGACGGCGCACAGTTACAGCAGACCGCGACGCAATAGTTGCAGCAGCAGATCTGTACGACCGCCAATACCTCGAGTTCGGAGCCGCGCGAGACAACTCCAAAGTTTGATGGGCAGGAGATCTTCTGCGACTCGATCAAGACAAATTTGATTCCATGGTTCCGCAAGTTTGAGCTCACGCTGCAGCTCCACAACGTCAAAGAACACAAGCACCACGCATACTTGTACTCTCGCTCAGGGGGCGTGTGCCAGGCTTGGTTGGACAATCTCTTGTCCAAGTACGGAGTGGTAGCTGCCGACTTGCACACCAAGATCAGTTGGGATGATCTGAAGGCGGCGTGGCACAAGCGGTTCCAGATTGAGCCGCCGGAGATCAAAGCTATGGACAAGCTCATGGTCTTCGAACAAGGCACACTGCCGAGTACCGACTGGATCGCCGAGTACCAACGCTTGACATCAGTCCCAGACATCCAGATGGGCTTCAAAGCCATCCGCCACTACTTTATCTCAAGGTCATGTCCGACATTAAGCAATGCCCTGACTCACGTCGAGGACACCTTGACGACAACGGCGGAACTTTTTGACAAGGCCGCGCAGATCATCATTACAAACAAGGAGGTGAAGAATCTGCGTTCGTCCGCGGCAGGCCCGAGCAGGGACCAGCATTGGCCAAGAGTGGTCATGGTCGCAGCAGCAACGCCGTTGAACCAAACCAGTGAGGTTGTGTCTGCCAGTGAAGGGGACAGACTCGCAGCCGCCCGGGAAGGTGGCCGCCCCGGTAGAGGCCGAGGATGCGGCAAGCCGAAGACAAACACCGCATCTAGCCCCGGGCCTGGCACAGCCGCTCCAGCCCCTTGGTCCCAATATGACATCTCCGAGCAAGCCTTCAAGGCGCGCACGAGATTCCACTATTGCCTATGGTGCAACAATGATCTGCATCAGACACCAGTCTGCCCATTGAAAGGCAAGGGCAAACAGGGAAACTGAGCACCGCCGAGAGTGACTCGACAACACTCTCGACGCCTCCGGAACCGGTTTCTTTGCGAGTAACCAGCCTTCATTCCGAGGCGCACACGGAAGTCGATAGTCCTCCTCTTCTACTTTCTTTTGAGGACTATGCTGCCCGGCTCATTCCTACGATGGGTACTCAAGCTCAAGGACAAGAAGTGTGTGCGTTTTTTTCTCCGTCCGGCAGCGGCGACATATCGTCTTCAAGTGGGTTTCACAGGAATCGACGAGCGAGTTCAACATAGAGGAATTGGACCCGCTCACGTCTGAGGACTTTGCATGGCTTCCTCTTCCGACCACGGGCCGCTTGCCAGGACCGCAATGCGCAGCACTATGCGCTCATCTCCACACTTACTTATCCTTCTATGCACCACCAACTTCGCCGACGGGAGACGAAGTCGCGGTGGGGGACATCCTTGCGTATACTACCAAGGTGGCCCGCGAGTTTTGCACGCAGCGGTACGATGACAACAACGCACCGCTCATGTATGTCCGCATTCAAGTTGGGCAAGCGTCCTGCAACGCTTTACTGGATAGCAGCGCGTCTCACAATTTCATGAGCCAATCCTTTATGCAAAGGGTTGGCCTTGGCGCACAAGTTCGGAGGAAGGCAAACCCGACGGCGATCAAGTTGGCGGATGGGAAAACGCAGCAACTTCTCGACCATTACATCGAGGCCGTACCGGTCTACTTCGCACCTCATGCATGCGAACCAGTGACATTCCATATTCTCGACATGGACTTCGACATCATTCTGGGAATGCCTTGGCTTGCAAGTGCGGATCACACGGTCAATTTCCACAGGCAGACTCTTAGTGTTCGCGACGCCTTCGGTGTGGAAGCGGCGTATACTATTCCTCTACCGCGCCCTTAGATTCGGTGCCAAGTGGTGAGGGCGAAATCATTCAGGGCGACTTGCGCTTACAAGCAGCCCGATGAGATCGACCTATGTTTCCTACGGACCGTCGCGGTAGCCGACGCTTCACCCACGGACTTGTCTTCGGACCCCCGGGTGGTGTGGTTGCTGGACGAGTTCGCCGATATTTTCGAGTCACCTACCGGTGTGGTGCCGGATCGGCCGATCTCTCACGAAATCATTCTTGAGGCCGGTGTCGTGCCGCCGAAAGGTTGCATCTATCGCATGAGCGAGGAGGAGCTTGAGGTCCTCCGCGCACAACTTGACGATTTGTTGGCTAAGGGTTGGATCCGCCCTAGCAGCTCCTCATATGGAGCACCGGTTCTCTTCGTCCGGAAGAAGAACAAGGATCTACGATTAAGTATCGACTACCGCAAGCTCAACACGCAAACCGTCAAGAATGCGGGGCCTCTTCCTCGCATCGACGATCTTCTTGAGCGACTGGGCGGCGCAAACTATGTTTCTAAGTTGGATTTGAAATCGGGATATCATCAAATCTCGATCCGGTCGAACGATCGCTACAAGTCCGCGTTCAAGACGCGATACGGGCATTTTGAGTGGGTGGTCATGCCTTTTGGCCTCACCAATGCCCCGACAACCTTTCAAGCGGCAATGACCAATGAGTTTCGTGCAATGTTGGACCGGTTCGTGCTGGTCTACTTAGACGATATTCTCGTCTATAGCCGGTCATTGGAGGATCATCTTGGACATCTTCGACGAGTGTTGGAGACGCTCCGCCACGCCAAGTACAAGGCCAACCTCGACAAGTGCGAATTTGTCCGGCAAGAGCTGGAATACTTGGGCCATTTTGTCACACCAGAGGGCATCGGCCCGCTATCGGACAAGATTCAAGCCATCCAAGAGTGGCCAGAGCCTCGGAACGTCATGGATGTCTGTTCATTCCTTGGTCTCGCCGTCTACTACCAGCGTTTTATCAAAGGCTACTCAAAGATCGCGGCCCACTTGACCAAGCTTCAATGCGAGGATCGGCCGTTTGACTTCGGAGAGGAGGCGCGGGAATCATTCCTTGCTTTCAAAGCCGCGCTATTATCTGCGGAGGTCTTATGGATATACGACCCGCTTTTGCCTACGCGCGTCACTACGGATGCGTCAGGCTATGTCATTGGTGCAGTCCTCGAGCAACATGATGGTGTGGATTGGCACCCGGTCGAGTATTTCAGCAAGAAAGTGCCCGTCGTGCATTTCCATTGACGATGCACGCAAGAAGGAGCTCCTCACCTTCGTCCACGCGCTCAAGCGGTGGCGACACTTCCTCCTTGGTCGAAGCCAATTTCGATGGGTAACGAACAACAATCCGTTGGTCTTCTATAAGACCCAGAACACCGTCAACAGCACCATCGCTCGATGGATGGCTTTCATCGACCAGTTCGACTTCTTTCCCGACCACATTCCCGGGAAGTCGAAGCGTTTTGCGGATGCTCTTTCACGGCGTTCGGATCATTGTACCGTGGTCTACTCAACCTTCGAGATCGACGATGACTTGCGGAACAGCTTCATCCGTGGCTACCAAGCCAACCCCGAGTTTCGCGACAAGTATGCGAATTGCTCCTCTCCTAATCCGGCGCCTTCTCACTACCGGATCCAAGAGGGGTACTTGCTTGTCCACACGCGGGGGAATGACCTTCTTTGCGTCGAGTGATCCTCACTTGCGTACATGGCTTCTTGGCGAGTTCCACGATGCTCCCACCACCAGACACTTTGGAGTCAATCGCACGATTGGCCGACTTCGCCAGCGATTCTGGTGGCCCGGCCTTCTCGGCGACGTCACGCGCTATTGCGAGTCATGCGAGGTTTGCCGACGCTGCAAATCTCGCAACCATCGTCCGTACAGCGAGTTACGACCATTACCGGTCCCATTGAGGCGAAGGGAAGCGATTGCCATGGACATTACCGGCCCGTTCCCCAAGCACAAGACCGGAGTGGATGGGATTCTCACGGTGGTCGACCGACTCACCAAGTTTGCCATGTTTTTGCGTTGTCGCTATCATGCCAAGGCACCGGAGTTGGTCGAGGTTCTTTACGCCGGTTGGATTCGAACCAAGGGTTACCCCAAGGAGATCGTCTGCGAGCGCGACACCCGGTTCATTTCCGATTTTTGATTGGCGCTCATCAAGCGATGGGGCTCATCTCTCGAGCCCAGTTCAGCTCGCCACCCTCAGACCGATGGCCAGACGGAGAGGGCGCATCAGACTGCACAGGTACTCCTTCGCACTCTCATCCGCCCCGACCAGAAGGACTGGGTTGAGCGGCTCCCGGATGTCGAGTTGGCCTACAACTCCTCTATCCACCCGGCTATCGGGATGTCGCCCTTTGAGTTCGAGCACGGCTCGCCAGTCACTTCACCGTTGGATACTATTACTCCGCGAACGGCCGAGGGCGACAACCATCTTTTTTTCTTGTGTCGGATGCAAGAGCTTCTTGTCAAGGCACGCGACCAGATGGCCAAGACGCAGCAGCGCATGAGCCAGCAGGCCAATCGCCAGCGTCTTCCTTGCCCATTCTGCGCCGGCGACCTCGTGTGGGTTTCCACAGCGGAATTTAACCTTGAACAAGACATCTCTCGCAAGCTCCTCCCAAAATGGATGGGGCCTTGGCCGATCGTAGCGCCCACTGGGGATGCACCCGAGGGACCTTCCTTCACGATTCAGGTGCCCGGCCACTTGCCCGTCTACCCAGTCTTTCATCGCTCCATGTTGGCTCTATACACGCCAACGGAACATGACGATTTTCCCCAGAGACGTTCGCAAGACCCACCTTCTATGGACGGTTTTCACGAGGTTAGCAACATCATCTCCCAGCGACGCTACGGCAACAGGCCACCCGAGTATTTGGTGCATTTTGCATATTGCACACACCGAGCTGACCGTTGGTTGACCCGTGCGGAACTTCAAGCAACAGCGCCAGATGTTCTCGCACGCTATGAACGTAAGATGCAAGGCAAGCTGGTCTCTTCGGCTCCACGCAGCGCGCGCGTCCAGGTTCCACCTTCAGATCGTCGGCTCCGCCCTCGCCCCGGCTTGACTTCATAAGGAGGGGGGGGTGTTACATGTTGCGCCTTCACACGAGGGCCATTTTCCAAGCCCTGCGTCTCTCAGGCTAAAAGCCTGAAATTTAGGCTTAAAGCCTGAAAACAAGGGCCTACAGACCCCATGACTGTTCAGCCCGAAAGCCTGAAAACAGGGGCCTACAGTCCCTGTGTATTTTTCAGACTAAAAATGGCAACAACCTTTTTAGCCTGAAACGAAGGGCCATTTTCGGTCGCTCATCAGAACGACCGGCCCTGAAACTCAGGCACCGAACCAGGGTTTCGAGAACAGGCTATTCTTAGCCTGTTCCCACGCCAGCCTCAAGCAGCTGCTGCAACGCCAGCCCCTGGCACACTTCGGCATTGGCAAGAGCAGCCTCCTCGGCCTGGCTCGCTCTTCAGGCAGTCAGGAGGCAGGCCGAGGTAGTACATAGGGACTTCCCATGCACTTCACGGGCAGGCAGAGGCAGTTGTAGTGTTCAGGATTCGGGAGCAGCACTCTAGAGGGAGCGCTGCAGGGAGTAGTAGTAGCGTTAGCCTTTAGTCTTCAGCGTTGGGCACAGTAGGTAGTTGTAGTCTCCAGCGCTGGGCGCCATAGCTAGGATAGCACTAGAGAGAGAGAGAGAGATTGGGCGGAGGCCTTGGGTACTCACCTGCAGTGCCGTTGCTCCAGCTTCGTCTTCGAGGTACCTGCAGCACAGCGCCAACATCACAGGTTAGTATCCGTCTCGTAATAGAGAGAGAGAGATAGTTCTTCTTCTTCCTCTTCTCAGTCCACCATCTCCTTCTCCCCCTCTCATCATCTGACTTCACTGCATCTGCAGACTACGAGCAAAGAGAGGCAGAGCTTGGTGACATCCGATCCAGACTCAAATTTTTGGACTTCAGACATTACAACGAGGGATTATTTGGGACTTGTGACAAAGAGTTGGTGTTGACCACATTCCCATCTCTCTCCCTCCTTTCGTCTGATTCCCTCCTCTTCGTCTGTGTATGTCTGGACCTGGCGCTTTCTTCCTGTGTACAACGCCAGGCTCCTTCACACTTGGTGATGGATACGATGTATGTTTGGTCGGCATTCAAACATTGATGGGGCTAGTCATTAGCATTCCAGCATTCTGCTTCGCTATCTTGCACTANCTTGGTGATGGATACGATGTATGTTTGGTCGGCATTCAAACATTGATGGGGCTAGTCATTAGCATTCCAGCATTCTGCTTCGCTATCTTGCACTACGTGAATGAGATCAGTCCCGTTCAGGTCAGGACTTGTATCTAAATCTTCCACTGCGCTATTCAGCACCATTTTGTATGTATGAGAATGCACATTGCTTGTTGAGGTTCTACTTGAACTGCATTGTCCATTCTGTCTTTTTTATCACATTGCGGATCCTCGGTTATGATGTACATCGCTCATCTGAGCATGTAACAGAGAGAGAGAGGGAGAGAGAGAGAGAGAAAGAGCGAGTAAAGTTAACGAGAGAGAGAGAATAGGGGAGAATCCATTGTCGCTATCTGGTTGAGATCCGTTGTGCGTGTGTGTGTGTGGCAGAGCCGCTGGAGACAAACATTCTTGTATACTGATAATAATATTGGAGACAACATCTTTAAGTGTTGATTGTATTTGGATTTGGCTTCTCACGTGTGAACTTTCATATGAATGTTCATTGATTACTTGACAAGTACTTGGCTCATTTCATTCCTTACGTTCCTGCCCAATTGTTCCAGCTGGCTGGCGACAAATTCATCGAGGCATAGACGCACCTCGTTGATCACTTTCTGCACGGATCTGCTCGCCTCCATCATCAGAACAGCAGTGTCAGCCATACTTAGTTCGTCCTCTGATGATCGCAGGTTGAACTGGTTGCGTAGGTGCTGCTCTGCCTCTAGACCGGCGTCGTGCAATTCATTAACCACCTGTTGTAATTTGTTCGTCATTAGTTCCCGACGGGCATCTGTCCATCCACAGGGCTTAATTTCTTCTTCTTCATCAGCCAAGAACATGAGAGGGATCGAGAAGAAGAAAAATGGAATAAACTGAGTCTGAATGGGCTCTGCAACCATCTCCAACGGAATGTCATAACAGCAGGTGAGCATACCGCACAATTCATTTAGAGAGACAAATGTAAATTCCACGTCCTCACCGATAACGAATTTCAGGAAAAGAAATATGAACAAAAATGAATGGATCAGAATTTCCTAACTTCTGAGACTAATTTCCTACTAGCTATGATTAATAATTTTTGTTTTGAGAGACAGTGCGGGTTCCACAACCACGACCAGTGTGATCAAAACCACACAACGATGGTAAGTTCGCAACATCCACAAGGCAACAGACGAGAGGTAAGTGCACAAAGGCCACCAGAAACACACACAATCAAACTGTTGCCAATCTCACTGAAATGGTATTCACCTGTTGAAGTAGCCGATGCAGATCCCAGGGCTCGATCCCTAGTCATCACCTTACCAGTGTACAATATTTGTGTTGACCTTGAGAGTTGAACCCATGACCTGTGTATTTGTAACAGTTGGTAGACTGTCGTAGGGTCTGTAGGTAGCAGGGGTTCGATCTGTAGACCTGTTGAGTAGAAGCCTTAGGGAGTTCTAGAAGTCGTAGCTGTGGAGCTTCCGAAGAGTCAAGGTCGTAGCTGCTACACTTCTGAAAGGTGAAGGTCGTAGCTGCTAC